ACTTTTCTTTGAAAAGATGATCGTGACAGTCAGCTGCAATTCTTTGATGGTCTGTCAAGTAGACGAAGAAATGGCTCACTTGGGATAGATATGTAGACGAGAAGCATATGCGTATTCCAACAAACATACTCTTTTACTTCCGTACCTATAATGTAAGAAGAAAATTCAGTGATGTTAACGTTTACTCTCAAAAAGACAGTTACACCGTACCCATAACTGGGTAATTTTATAAACCCATTACTGAACACCTATCTTCTGGCTGGGAAAAAGACATGGTTGGAAGTGATCACAAAATGGAAAACTCCAGTAGTGTTCAGTGTGATTTGTCGAATCCCATCACACGTGTTCAATGGAGTCCAAGTTTACTTCTTTTATTTAGCTAAGGTTGTAAAAACTCCAAAGAACAACCTTAGTCTTTGTATCCAGACGAGATCTGCGTACCCTTTGTGTGAGATGTGAACAAGGGACACCAAGTGCATAATCTCGCCTTATTTGTTTCCATAATCTACTCCTTTTACGTTTATTCCCCTGTTTTTATAATCATGGTGAATTAGCATTCAAACTTCTTTCGTATATCAACTTACCGTAATATTGCACATTCTTAATGTTCTTTTATAGTTTTGATTAAATTTCACTATGTAACACCAGCTCACGTAATCATATCATTCTTAGTATTTTATTGACTATATTTCTTCTATTTAAGTTATTCTAACTGTATAATCCATGTCTTTACTATGTTTGACTAACAAATCACTACGACCTGCTTAATTTATCTGTTTCTGCTGATATGAATAACTCTTCTCCGGTAGAAAAGTTGAGATAAAAGTCAATAGCTACTGGAAAAGATGCTGTTCTCATGATCTAGAAACCCAGTAGGCAACGCTTTTGTGCTCAAAGTGATTAATATTTCATACACAACTGGTAACATATAACCAGTTGGCAACAAAGGTAGTATAATACTGGATTCACCTGCCTTCTGTCAGAGAATACATTAGAGCAAATAACGCACACATATGTTTCTTCATCTGAAGCTTTAAAAGAAAAAAAATCAAAAAATCAGCTTTTTGTTATAATAATTGTAGGAATAAAAAAACATTGTTGAATAATCTACACAACGTATATGTAATTAGGACCAACCTAATTGTCATATACTTACTATCGGTTTAATGAAATAATCACTTTACTTCATGCACACCATTATTAGGATGATGAATGTCATGAAACACTACAAAACTTCCAATATTAATTTTTATAACAGCTATAACCCTTGACATATCTTAAGCTTAGTTAATAGCCACTTGATTCAAAAATGTATTAACGGAAATGAAATATTCAACAGTAATAACATAGCAAAAGCAAAAATAACACAAGACAATACAGAAGAGAAAACGTTCTTCTTAATGAATCATTTTTATAGGCTGCACATCATAGTTAGTCATAATTATATATATATATATACATATATATATATATATATATATATATCATCAGAAACGGTGACCAACGTCACAACGTTTTAATGGTTAGAAGGTCAAATCAAGGTCATCAAAAATACCTCATAGCATTATAGTAAATAAACAAAGAAACGAATGAACTATCTCAAGAAAATTATGATCAAGACAAAACTAGAGGTTGAATGTACCTCCTGTGAACACAAAAATCAGGATTGTAATGTTGAACTGCAAAAACCACTGAAGTGTTCAGGTGGCGAATACGCATACGCTCACAAATGTTCGCCTTCACTTTGGAAACAGATTCTCGTGGACCACAGTGACCAGATATAACCAAATGCTGAAGAATCAAGCTGTTAACAGCTTTACAATCTCCTTTACACGGCCCTGCAGTATAGTATTCGGAGATGGGTTTGGATAGAACATGCTTTGTGTGGCCCATGTAACCAGTTCCACAAGAGCAGGTGGATTGTTGAACACACATGGAGTTGAGTTGGCTCAAAGTGGTGTTGGAAGTGGCATTTTAAAGAGCAAGGTAACCTTGAAGAAATTACTACGAAAGTTCAATAAGTGTTATCAGTCAATTGAATTCATCATGGAAACTGGAAATTACTCACAATTCCACTTCCTGCACGTTCCATTGAAAAGAATACATCATGTTTCCCCAACCAGATCGGTTCACAGAAAACAAACCTGAAATGGTCAATACTCACATTCCCAAAGCTGCTTTCCACCAGTCAGGGAAAGAAAGTTAATTCATTCACTTATGTACACGAATTGGAAGAATTTGTATGGATGATGTAGTAAATGAGGAACTGGAAGTACCTCGAAGAGTGTTAATCGAGAATTGTTAGCCTTCAGGATTCAGTGAGAGCAAGATTAGACCTCAGGATTTCGAAGAAGAAGAAGAATCCCCTACGGTTCCAAAGAAGATTTTGTTGGTGAATGTTGGATTCACGGCAGATGATACATCGACAGAGATAATGAGGAATCGACTGTTCAGAGCACCATAGAAGACCTTCTTTTCCAATCAGCTTCAGATTACTTCCTGCAGTCAACAACTGATCTGAGGGTGTGTAAAGGATAAGCTACCACTTTGAGCCAACTCAACTCCATGTGTGTTCAACAATCCACCTGCTCTTGTGGAACTGGTTACATGGGCCACACAAAGCATGTTCTATCCAAACCCATCTCCGAATACTATACTGCAGGGCCGTGTAAAGGAGATTGTAAAGCTGTTAACAGCTTGATTCTTCAGCATTTGGTTATATCTGGTCACTGTGGTCCACGAGAATCTGTTTCCAAAGTGAAGGCGAACATTTGTGAGCGTATGCGTATTCGCCACCTGAACACTTCAGTGGTTTTTGCAGTTCAACATTACAATCCTGATTTTTGTGTTCACAGGAGGTACATTCAACCTCTAGTTTTGTCTTGATCATAATTTTCTTGAGATAGTTCATTCGTTTCTTTGTTTATTTACTATAATGTCAAAATAAGTTCATGATAATTATTTTATGAAACAGGATCATTAGAATATGACTAGATAAATCAAATAATTTTTCAAGGATTACAGCTTATTTTTATTATAAAATTTATTGACTTTATTCTAAAATCGGTAATGGTTATTTTTATAACCAGTTTCAAAAGATTACTAACTATATATTGATGGATATTTAGATATCTAATCTTGATTTCGCTAATTTTTTGTACTCTGTTATTCTAATCGACTCTTGTTGACTACTTTGATTTGCTTGAAACAGTTACTCCCTTTAATGAATTTACAATGCTTAGTTAGAAGTTTGAGTTTATCTGAACACTTTTATAAATCCAGTAGTGAATGCAATGCAATTTACCTGTGGCTTGGACAGTGATGAAGGTGTTGTCTAGCAATGTCAGATTGCAAGATTAAACTAAAACAAGTCGCAGGTTTAGAGACTAGTGTCTATAGGAAACCTTCTCATTCGAATTGTTACTTAAACTTCAAAGTCATCTCACCCCATCCTATTTAAATGTCTAAGTGTTAAGGTGAAAAACTTATTAGTAGGCCAGAAAATCTACGACAAGAAATTAGACACATCTACAATACCCTGTGCCTCAATAATTGCCCATCTAAATTTACAACTGAATTTATTATAAATTGAAATAAAAATATCAGCAGTACTACTATTGGCAATTCAGGCGTTATTATTAATAATAACTCCACTACTAATAGTAATAAGGGTAACATAATGGAGAGAGAATTTCAAAGCTTTTGCTGTGTTACCATATAAGGAAGGCACCTAAGAAGCACTACGAAGAATTCTCAATAACTTTGGGACTGAAGTGGCATTTAAACCAACGAACTCGCTTGGAAACAAGCTTTGTAGTCTGCAAGACCCTGTTGATGCAATTAAGCAAAACGGTCTGGTTTACCAAATCCCTTGCAATGACTGAGAGGTCAAATACAATGGTCAAAGTAGTTGACTAGAGTCAATTGGAATAACAGCACAAAAACTTAATTCAATCAAGATTAATAGATCCTTATAAGAAAAGAAATTTGGAAAAAAGCTTGACTATTGCTCCGCACGCAGTTACGCACAGTCATACAACAGGGCAGGATAGAGTGACAGTATTATAAACTAACTTATTTGGGCGGGGGGGGGGATGATTAATAACAAAATCTTTGTTTATCGAATCAATACCAAATACATGCAACATAAATGATTCTGCACGTGTCCCAGATATATGGAAAATTCTACTACCCTTGTCATCACAAAGAAGGAGAAAAAAATTAGAACTATATAAATTCTCATTTTATTATCTGAGATAGCCGTAGTTTAGAAGACTAGTATTTATACTAGGTGATGATTGGAGGTGAAATGAAAATTTGGACTGCAGCCGGATTCGAACCCGGTGGCCGCTGGTTCAAATCCGGCTGCGATCCAAATTTTCATTTCACCTCCAATCATCACCCAGTATATAAATTCTGTCTGAAGGTTGTGGAATTACCTAATATGAATATGGACAATAAATTGTATACGAAACTTTTTCCAGTGATACTATTTCACTGTGATATATCTAATAAACAAACTCAAATGGAATTACAACCTACCACAGTGTCCAAGTTTTACTTCTATGTTCTACCCCCTCATTTTTTCACCAAGAACAAATGATGAAATGTAACAAGTGATTCGATAATCTATTTCATAGTCAATAAAATGGCATAATTTCTCAATATAGGTCTGTTATTAATAATAGGTGACTGAGCACAGCCTATAACTATCATATGAAAATACTAAATACTTTGTATGCATTTTCATTTCGTATTCTGATCATTCAGTAATATGTACTTCACCTTAGCCTTAATAACATGAGCTCACAGTGAAAACAGAATGCACACATTGTGCATTGTGCACATTGTGTCCAATTAAAACTCATTTATCGTAGATGATAATTTATAGTACTTCTAAAACGATGCTTAATTATCTTCTCTTAAAGTTTTCGGCTTTGTCAATAAATTGTTTTAATTTTTCTGGTTCACACTGATAATCATTATAATTACTAGTAATAATGGTGCTGAGGCGGAAAGCTAGAACACCGACAACACCGAAGTCAGCTACTTCCCGTACTTCATCAAGAGCAACAACACCGACACCAACACCGGCATCGGCAACAACAACAACGCCGACACCAACCCTGATAAGTTCAAATCAACCGAAGTCAAATTATCCCAATTTTAAACTTTTCATAGAATACTGTGTAGAAGTTGACTTGAATCAACCGTTCACTACACAGCATCTAGATGCCCCTGCATCAGCAAAGCATGGATTGGTTAAATTTGTCAATATGGATAGAAGTTTGTTGTTAATGTTGACAGACAAAGAAATGTTTTTGGATAAACCCTTGTGGTGGCCTGGTACAACGGATTTATGCATAACCTATGGATATTTAAATGACATCACCATATCAAGATCTGATGAGAGGAAATTAGCACTGGACATTAAATCCTTCAATCCTGGTAAACGTCTAATTCATGTGTTTTCATCTATCAGTAAAGAAGAAAGAGAAAAGTTGGTTACAACGCTTACAAACAATGCTAAACAATACCAGCAGATGATAAATCAGCAGAAGGCGATGCAACAACAACAAGCCACTTTATATATGAGTCAGGCTAACGCACAAAAATCCTCTGTATCGTATGTAGACCAAACTTTAAACCCAAAAGACTCAACCCTTACACCTATTGTTTCGTCACCACAAAAGAAACAGTTATCTGGTCGATTTTCAAAAAGCCTGCTTTGAAAACACCTGTAAAACCACTTTCTTTTGAAGATTTTTCTCATTCTAGTAGCAAAACTTCACCTGGAGTATTTAATTTCAACGAGGCTGACTGTGAAGCATATGGATATTCACCAACTATATATCCAGTTACTCACTTAAATGACACTCCATATACACAGTATAGGAACAGATCATTAAGCCCTGGTCCACTACACAGCACAACACCAGAGGCTTATCAGCATAAACCATCCATGATGTCTCGTTATCCAAGACATGAAGAGAAAGGAAATCAAGTAGAAGAATCCTTACTATACACAAGAGGACTATCTAAATCACAACCACAACTATCTTATCCTCACGAAAACACCTATCCTTACCAGGATGGACATTTTCAAAAATCCGAAAGTCGTAACAATTACAGAACACCTGGTTATGAACCATATTCCTCAGTTGTACCAAAGTATGGTGGTTCATCTTCAACAGCAGCAGCAGGACCAGGACATACACCTAGTCGAGTAGTTTGCTACAATGATGATGACGTTTATGACCAAGATGTCAACAGACCTAGGAGTATTAAAATGAATGGAGATGATTTAGTCTTGAAAATCAATTGCTATAATCCAGAGACTCGTGCAAGATCTCCGGGAGCGACGCATATTGTTCGAATTAGTCATGGTGATGATGTGGAAAATAATAATAGAAGATACTAAACATTAAAAAATTCTGGAGTAGTATGAAAGTATTTCATTTTCTGTGTTTGTGTTTGTTTGTTTTGTTTTATTCATTAACATATACCCTTTTAGTTAGGTTGCGCCACTGAATATCAGTGGATTATGGATGGCTTTATCCAGTTTATTCACATGTTACAAGTTTATCTGACAACTGAAACAAGTACTCACAGTTAGTCTTCTGTCAACTTCGATAAAAAGCAAACACTTAGACAGTTATTCGTAAAGTAAACAATCTTTCTTCTTTATATTTTATGCTTACTATTACCGAATTATATTAACTATAATTTGCTTCATTGTCTCTGAAATTGTTTATTAAAATATTCATGTTTTACTAAATATCTAGATTAGTAACTCATTCTCGTTGTTGGTTTTCAAAGTTTCACCACATGTTGTATCACAACTTGATATCGTTTGGAGAAATTGGATAATAAAAATTACTACACAGTTGTTTCGTCATAGTCTAAGACCCTGAAGACAGTTTTATACCTAGTTTCCCATAAAGCTGAACTTGAACCATTCAGATCACCAGGCAAGAGAATCATCGCCTAACTACTGTAACGAAGTTTAGTGATCCAAATGTTTTCAGAGTTATGAAATTCATACTACGCTTGAAGTGGCTTTTAGTGTTGTATAAAGGTATATCAAGATTCTTCAGAAGTTAAAAAATGACATACATTTGACTTTGTTGTCAAGACAAACTGTTTTCGACAAGCCAGTATTTTCACTGGCTTCACTAAGCTTCTAATTATCTGATTCTGTAGTCCATTAAATATCGATGGTAAAGCTCTTGAAAACTCGAAGCGAAGCAAGAACCACTGTTTTATCACACCTTACGTTTTGAGAGTTTGAAGTGAGTTCGGAAGACTGTTTCATCCATGTCTATCATCGGAATGATATCATTTTGTTGAATGCTAACTGAAAATCGTGTTGCAACGTGTTTTAACTAAAACACAACCTTAAAAACCTGTTTTAAAAACATCTTGGTAACTGGAAATTACTATGATGTCGTTTCCGTTGTTTCGTTTGTTTGGATGGAGGCAATCAGCAGGAAGCTCTGGACCTATGTTTTGTGCTTCTTGGCGGTTGTAAGTAAAGAGTATCCCCAGCCTTAAAGAAACTAATGTCTCGCCTGAGACCACTGCAGTACTCTTTGATTGATTTACTTGAAATAAGGAAGGCTGAACTGCATTTAAAGCATAAGTTTAGAATAGAAGTTGAGTGATTTTCTGAAACTACGGCACCAACTGGGAATTTGAGTCTCTATAGCAGCTGTTCTGTAGGGCTTTTAAATAGCGTAGTTGGGATTTGTGTTACATTTTGTGGGATATATCAGTAAAATTCGATTATATGTAGTTAAAGAGGCATTTTGTTGCAGAAATGCAAATTAATTCTCCCTATCCTTTTTATCTGTCAAAATGTGTAAAGTTTTGGGGAGCGTTTTGTAAGCAGAGACGGTAAATTAAATCGGTAAATGCATTCCAGTGCAAGCTGTCATTTATGCCACAATGAAAACAAGTGTTAGTTATGCAGTCTCAAAGATTACTTTATAATCATTTCTTACAATCTGCTCCGAATCAAGAGTATTCTTCTCTGCTAAACTGCCTGCATTCAGGAAGGATTTGTGGAGTAACCTTGCAACAACGAAATACTATTCTGTTACGAATACTAAAAGCCTTACCTAACCATTATGGTAGGCTGTCACCTAACGCTTTTACTCCTCGTAGACTTGTTTAATTGAGTATGCACAAATGTAAATTTCGCATCTTCCTCACTCAAATTTAGTGTCCTGATCCCAAACATATTCGTGCAATTCAATAATTTTCTGCTCGGATGTTTTGTCAGGTACTACTCTTCAGTAAAATCCCAAAAACCTGAACAGATCAGTTCTTTTATCTCTGAAAATTCATTGTCGCATGCATGAAAATATCATTCACTGTCATTCTTTTTCATAGATGGATCAGTCAAGAGCGAAATTTGTGAGGTGATTACTTCAAAAAATGGACAAGAAATTACAGATGCAAGTGAAATGAATTCAAGAACTTCTTAATGAATCCTTATTTTTTTGCAATAGATTTTAGTGGAAATCTGACATCGCATAGCATCGAATAACTGTTTTTTTTTCGTTTAGGATTCCTCAGCATCTGAATCATATGTAAAAGTAGATATTCATGGATGATACTAAAAGATTATCTTAGAGAATATGGAAAATATAAGCCATTGGATCTTGATAAAATAGTTCAGTGATGTGTTCACCAAAATCTAGTGATCTCGAACTCTTTACAGGTAAAATGTGAACTTCCATCATCGCTATCAGCACTAAAATACTTTAGGTAATTGTGATTCATTCTAGGAGCTATTTTTAAAACATTTGTGTCAATCTCTGACGGCAGAATACGATTCTAGCAATGGAGGTAAAGAATGCTCTGTTTATGGATTTAATAGTCTCTTTCCAAAGATGTCTGGCAAATTATCTACCTTGAATTTGAGGTTCAGTAGTAATATATATATATATATATATATATATGTTCAGCTGGAATTCCATGACTCAGCTATATGCAACGTGCTTCTTATTTCATGCCAGTTTAGAATATCCTGTAACACTATTCATTTTAAATTAAATTAACCAGTGAAGAAAGTATCAATTTGAAAAGATAAATAAAACTGGATTTACTTGGAATTCTGTAATTTAACGTCTTGTCATATTGTATTCTGCTGAGCTTTATGTCTTACTAGTGTAAACGAGAATGTATGTAACCTGGATATCAGCAAACCATAATGATCTTGATCAGAAATGTTTTAAACTACTACTTAAGCAACTTGACTACTTACCAATTAAACACCTACCCTATTTCATGCTGTGCCATTATGTGCAACTTGTACCATTGTATTTTTTTTCCAATTCAAACAATTTACGAGAATTCAATGCAATCTGCTTTTCAGATAATCGAAATTAAGTAGTATTATGCATGTTGTGATATCTAAGCTTATTATCGGTATAAGTACAAGCAACATGAATCTGTTTGCATAATCGACCAAGCTAAAATGGCCAAGTTTCTGATATAACGACAAGCGAATAATTATTTAAGTGTGAAACTTGAGCACTGTGGTAGAATGTAATTCCATATAAGATTTGATATATAGCGCACAGTGATACAGTACTATTATGACGTTTCGAGTATAAATTATTGATCAGAATCATATCCATGTAATCACACTCATTTCGATATCTGCTTTTTAGCGTCCAGTCACCTCTTATTCTTTGTTTCTATTGGTAGTAAAATTTCCCATATTACTGGTACAGGTGTTGCATCATCTCTATTACATGTGTTGGGTGTAGATTCTATGGACAAAGAAATTCAGTCACCAGTGTCTCTCTCCACCTAATTATACTGGACTTAAGTACAGCAGTTTTATCCCACCCAATTGTGTGGTTGTGTTAATGCATGCATTACAATAGCTCAGTGTTTTTCGAGATTACTGGTCTTATTAGGGTCTGCTATTCTATATTTAGCTAAATTATTTTGTTCCACTAATCTAAGTGACCCTGGTCGGCTAGTTTGACCTATGACTTGGCTTGACAGTTATTGCATGGAATCTGGTAAATTAGACTTTTGCTTAATTGGATCTGTTGGATCCTTAAGCCGAGTGGGTTTGTAGATTTAAATCCCACCCTCATCCCAGCCCTGTGGAGGATCCTACATTAAGTTTCTGATGTTTCTTCCTTAAATGGTAACACAGTGGAGGCTTTTAACCTAATGTCGCCATTATTTGAATCCATTTTATTGTCATCATTTTGCATCTTACATGTTCGTACAAATTTCTTAATCAACCGTGGAGGATAATTATTAATTACTAACGCTTTTCTTATGTGTTTTAATTCCTTGTTTAAGTTCTTACAATGACTGGTGAGTTTTTCAGCTCTATCATTTAGACTAAACACGCCTTAACTGACATGGGGTGAGATGACCTGAAGTCTAGATACCTGTTAAAATGTGTCGGTTTCCTGTAGATGGTAGTATCTAAACCATCGTCCGTCCTTTGTTTTATTCTACACTCCAACGGAGGTAATTTTCCTTGTTCATCGTCTACTTCGTAAGTAAATTGAAGTGCGTCCGCTACAGAGTTTATATATGTCGATTTGTTCCGATTTCAATACAGTAAAAGTGTCATCGAGATATAGCCACCAAATCTGCCTCTGAGATATTGAAAGCTTTACTACCAGTAGAAACAAAGAATAAGAGGTGACAAGACTATAAAAATCAGATATCGAAGGGAGTGTGATTATACTGATATGATTATGAGCAATAATTTATGCTCGAAACGTCATCAAGTAAATAATACTGTATCACTGTGCGCTATATATATATATATATATATATATATATATATAAAATAAATAAATCCTACATGGGATTAAATAATTACTTATTTCTGAATAGCACATCAAGTCAAAAAGGAGTTTACAACTAAAGTTAAAGCCTGTCAGCGATACAACATAGTGTGTTGGCTAAGTCATCTGGTCAGTGTTATAAAGGTCACTGATTCTAAGGTAACCAGGTTTCCTAATTTCTTTAATTTTGCTTGCGTGGATATCATACTGTCATACTGTACTATACCAACTAAAGGTACTAGTCTTAGGCTGCCCAATAAAGATTCTTATCATTAAATAATTAACATATTTACTTCGGTGTAAAGCAATATTTTGTGTCATTTTTGTAAGTAGAAATAATAATGATTCCAAGTTAGATCGTTGCTTACTAACTTTTCGGAAATATTCATTGTCGTTGTAGTCGTCGCAAAAATAACAAAGGCTTTCATATAATGTCACCTTTTTACCTTTTTTGATATTAAACTACCATCTTACCTTTCAAGTGTTAACTCATGAAGAGGAGATATGGTAAAGTAGTTGAATTTCACGATTCAGTAACCTCAAAACATTACCGATCTTCAGGTGAATGGTTTACCCCTGAGACTAGTAC